CTGGGCTCGATCCGGGTCTCCCTGCCCACCTTCGCCCAGACACCTGCCCACAGCAGCCAGGAGGGACGCGGGGGCCACCCTCCCACCATGACCCCCCTGCCCAGGGCCAGGCACGCAGTGCTCCGCTGCACAAGAGATTTCGCAGCCACCAAAAGCCTCCCTGGATTCTGCCTCGAGATTTCCTTCCGTGCCTCCAGGCTTTCCTTCCGTGCCTGTGCCTCCAGGATTTCCTTCCATACCTCAAGGCTTTCCTTCCATGCCTCCAGGATTTTGTTCCGTGCCTCCAGGATTTCCTTCTGTGCCTTCCAGCCTCTGGAGGCTTCGACAAGGCCCAAGCCCCCGGAGAACGGCCCTCCCGGGATCGGGATCGCTGCCCGTGCCAGCCAGTGCCTCTGGGACGTTCTCAGATCTCTGGGCACAAGGCTTGGGTCGAACCATTTTTTAATAAGCACCGTAAAATTAACCACAACGTATGACAAGAATTAGAAGCTTTAAAAAATACAACCAATTTTTTTTTTTTTTTTTGTATTTCAAAAATATCTGAACCCAAATAAATAATTTTTTTTTTTTTTAAAAGTACATTTCTCAGACTAGTCTTTTGGTGTTAACATCTGTTAAACTCTTGTGCAGTTAACACTTACAGCACGACACTAAGACATGCTTCTTGGGATTCTCCCGGCCACACTCGCTCTAACTACTGCCGCAAGCATTCGGCACGCACGGGCACACACACGGAACTCGACATGCAGTGGTAGGATACAGTGCTGGAAAACAAGGTGAGAATTCCTCACAGCCTCCTCGCAGCCCTCACAGCCCCATCCCGGCGGGAGGCAGTGGGACCGGGTACCCTGTGTTCCTGCCTTCCAGTTAAAACGCCTCCCAGGGCCTGGCGTGCAGTGGGTCTGTGACCCCTCCCGGTATCCAGCACATGGTGCTGCTGGGGCAGCGCGTGGAGCAGGCCCTCTCCTGCAGCCCGGGCAGCTCGCTGAACTTCCCATCACATCGTACCGCAGGAGCCTTTCCACCGCGCTGCTACAACCCCGCATCCTGCCCAGCTGTCCCAGGCACTGAGCGGGCAGCGTGGGCTGTCACCCACCACCAGACTGGGGGCTCAGGGCCCCCCACGCTCAATGAAAACCAAAGAACAGGCCTGGGGGCACAGAGCCCTTGGCTTTCACCCCTCCAGTGCCGCTCCCACCCCTTCCCAAATGGTGAATATTGCTAGAGCACAGGCGGTACTTCCCTAGTCAAGGCAAGGCAGCTTCGGAGCTGCGTAGAAGTGATTGCTACTGGATGGAAGTAAATCCGAGCACTATTCTCTGAGGGATGAAACCTGCGTAGGGTGAATATTGCCCACTCCTATGGCTGACCCTCCTCGGGCTGGGATCCGAAAGCGGTGGGCTAGTGCAGCGTAGAGCAGGAGCAGGAGCTGGCAGCCAGTGGGCTAGTGCAGCGTAGAGCAGGAGCTGGCAGCCAGAGTCTTCCAAAGCAGGAAAGCAGAGGAGGAAGGAAAGGGAGTGCTGCCCTCCCGGCCAGGCAGCAGGCGGCCACAAGAGACCTTTGCTCCGATGGATTCTCGGTCAGGATTAAAGCCTCTTCTTCCTGACGGGAAGGAGCCGGAGGCAGGAGCATGCTGGCAGCACTCACGCGGGCAGGTGCCAGCCACGCAGGGCACCGCTGGCACTCGCGGCGGGAGGGCTGGCGAGGATTGCCACGAGGAACCTGCCCCGCTCGGGG